GAGGTCAAAGAATGTTCCCTTCGGCCGACGGTTTGATGTATGTGTAGCTTTTGCTACACACACATCAGCGCTTGTGTGTCCTGCATGTTCCTTTTCTCTGTCCTTGTCTTTGTGTGCGCTCTTCTGTTCATCATGACGAGATAAGGAAACGAGTTTTGAGCGCAGTCACTCAGTCTCGTTTTCAACACTACGATGTTACACGAAGGCAACCGAAACCGGACCACTGCACACGTCACGTCTCACCTTTGCCATTTCCCAAGTCACATTTCCTTCCTTAGAAACGCATGTCAGAGAAGAGTGCTACACAATTCGCGAAGTCAAAGGTCGTTCTTGGTGACTTAGCCTACTAACACACCGCAGCTCCGAGCGCGTGGATCTAAAGCTCGCGCTGGAGAGCCCAGGGATCCTAGGTTCAATCCCCACCCCTTCCCGTTTTGATCTCGATGAGCATCGTACTGGCGTGAGGTCGTGTATCACTACTGCATAGCCCACGTTAAAACCCCAGGATAGAGGTTGTAATGCACTGGCCAAATATCTCAACTACAGCTGAGCGACAACTCGCCTATTGAGGCGGGCTATATATACAACGCCCTTACCTACGCCCCAACATGACGCATCTCTGAGGGAGCGTAGTGCGTCAGCAGTGAAGCGTGATCCGTAATAAAACTGGACACTCTGCTTGGATACAAAAGATATGCGAGTCTCCAGATGTGCATATAAGTCACATCTGTTGGAAGTCTAGATAACCCAACTTCGCAGTTCCAAATAGAGACGCTTCTCTTTCTTTGTCTTATAATTTTGTTTGTGCAAATAATTTTTCTTAAAAAATATTACTCTTTTTTTAAAGACTCGCTAAAAGACGTCAAGGCATTCAGTACGTACACTTGCGCAAAGTTCTACTACAGCTTCACTTTTGTTCACAAACTTGCCAGATTTGTTGAACATTCAGTGGCTTTGTGAACGCGCAGTTGCGGGACATGACCATTATACCCAAATATAAGGGATTCTCAGTTTGGTTTCCGTAAAGAAAGGTCTACAGAATCTGCATTACTTTAACAAAAATAAATTATTTTGAAAAGCATAGAAATTCGATTATTTACCCTTGGCATATTTATAGATTTTAGTAAGGCATTTGATTTCATCAACCACAAAATTATATTAGATACACTATTCGCAACTCCAACGCCCTATAGGTGGCGAGGCGGTAGTTCCAAGATGGCGGAAGAGACGGGGATAGATTCTCCAGGATATCCCGTGCGCCTGCTAGCTGACGCTGTTCAGCGCGCTAAAAATGATTTATTTGTCTACAAATGCGAAGCGGTTAGGGATGGATCATATAACAGGTGACGGAGATGCCGATGCACGTTATGAACACGAGCATGCTGATATTTTAAAGTTGCAGAAACCTCAAATTGCGAAGCTTTGTGGTGAGCGAGCGCGTTTTAGGCACCGGCCACGTTACTGTTTGTGGCAGAATATTTCTGAGAGTGATGAAGATATGTTTGCGCTTTACCTGGCCATTAGTACTCTAGAAAGAGAGCCGCGAACGGTGACCGTCAAGCTTCGGAAGATTAGCAATACACAGTATTGGTGTCTTCGCGTCACTGCCTCTCAAATCGCTGCTCACCGTCTCGGTTTTAGTGTATTGCAACACGTAATCAAACTGTTCTATGGTTATTGATAAAAAGTTTATTACCGCACACTACCGTGCGGTGTAGCATTACAACCGCAAGCTCGCGCTGCGCCTTTGAAGCACAATTTTCAGTGCGCGCCAGAAGTGTTGCCGTGCTTATCACAAAAAAAAAAAAAAAATGTTTTAGTCCTTACATTCTTTGTCACATATACGACACTCCAAAACTTCAGTTCGCCGTGCAGCGCACTGACATCAAACTGACGGCCCCAACTTTTATGAGAGGCTTGATGACGGCGCAATATAAGATACGAAACAGGAAAAGTATGCATCAAAGAGTACCGAAAAACAAAACAAAAAACACCGAGGTTTTGCAGTAGGGCCAAGAAAACCCCGATTAGTTTCTTTCTTTTTTTCTTTACTGTCATTTACACTTAAGCTATTTTAATAAGTTGCACAACTCGGCTATCAAGCCGCTCGTGAAAGTTGGTAGCTCCCGTTGAACGCCAGTGCGCTGTACGTCCAACTGAAGTTTAGGGGTCTCGTACGCTATGCAAAAAACTGCCTGTTAACATAATCGGCGTGTTTAGGGGTTTTGTTTATTGCTCTATCAAAAAAAAAAAAGTTTGTACACCGTAGATTTGTTGTACCGTGTTATTTGCAACATTGCGGTCCATCTGGCCAAAGCTGCGCGTTGTAAGCTCTCGTCACAAACGGCTGGCTACCACAGACGCGCTTAAAATGCTTCGAGCATTTCTTTATTTGCTTTGTAATTGCCTGAATGCAAGTACGGGTATTCTATTTTTTTGAAGTGCTTGGAATAAAGGGTCATGTTCCTTGTAACGGCCTTAAAACGCGAACCTATTCCCGATTTGTATTGCTCGACATACTGTTGCGCGACGAGTTTGCTCCTGCTTATGGCGAAAAATAGACTTTCCGTAGACCGTACTATAGAGTTCTTCATTACTAGCGGGAGTGTTTTCCGTCATGTTGAGCACTGATTGAGCTGGCGGCCATGCACAAGACCAGAAATCCGCAGCGTATGCGATACACGAAAAGTCCCTAATGAAATTATACCTTTCGGTCCTTTGTGCAAGGCTGTTGCAATGCGCAGAACAAGAATTCCTTTTTTAACGCGCTCACTTTTTTCATTGAAACGGCTTCACGCATCAAGGCCGACAGTCCCTGCCACCGTTTCCGCGCCGCCGTCGCCGCTGCCGTCCCCGCTCCTCTGGTTCTCCGTTCGTCCGCGGGAGGGCGAGCGGCGCGCTGGAGTTGCGAATACTTCTACGGTGTCCGTGGCGTAACTCTATCACTTTTGTGCTCTTATCTTGAACAACGAGCGCAATGTGTTGTGATCGATGGTGATACATCGCCTTTTCTTAAGGTACGATGTGGTGTCCCCCAGGGCAGTATTCTTGGGCCTGTGTTATTTAATATATATATTAATGACATCGTCAACATAATAAAATATATAATATATGCTGACGACACAAGCCTATTTCTCGCTGAAACGAATGTTGAAAAATTAATAGCCGACGCAAAATTATGCTTAGCCAGTTTTTTATATGGTCCGACAATAATGGCCTTAAGGTCAACATCCAGAAAACAAAGGGTATTGTTTTTCGTCCGAAAAACAAGGCTGTAGCTATTGACAACAATATTACAATTGATTTTACACCAATTGAATTAGTAAATGACCATGTCGATTTCCTCGTAAAGAAGCTGTGTCCCACTGTCGCTGTTTTTCCAGTTCATGTTAAACTACAAACTTACTATTCACTATTTCAGTCCTACATTAATTACTGTCATCTTTTTTGGGGGAAGACTACTCAAATAAACATGAAAAAGCTAGCGTTACTTCAAAACAAAATGCTCCGTTACATTGCCAATGAACACTATACGGCTGATACAATGCCCCTATTTTCCCAATAATATTTACCACTGAAAAGATTTACGACTATAGACTGCTGCATTGTTTCCGCCTTTCAACTTCTGACCATATTTGGTTTTTATGTGAAATGGCAAACCTCTCCGAACCTCCTCATCGCATCAACACCCGCCTCTCGGAAAGATGGATCATACTTCGAGCTCGTACTAATTATACTTATCAGTCAATCACTTATCGTCTATTTTCATTACTTAACCATTTACTTACCAACAATATTGATATATATATAACATGGGAAGGAAATTATTATTGATGCACTTCTTATAGTGCTGTCGGACATTAATTGTGCTTAAATAAATGGGAAAGCGTTTTATTGTATGGTACATCTATTCTTGTTAAAAAGGCTCTAATGTTTAAATAATGCGGAAAATGGCTATGTGTACGCGATTATTAGGAATTGTTTTATTATATTGCTTTTTGATAACCGTATTTCTCTTTTAGAAAGTTTTGTATTTTGTGGAATATTATGAACAGAAGCTGTGCGTATATTTTTGTGGTATGTGCGCTTTTGTGCGATCTTGGTATTTTTGGTAAATATTGGTATTTTGATTTCGGTATTTTGGTAAATACGTTTTCAGCGTGTTTGATTTATTTTTTTAAACTTAGTCCTGCTGCCAAACTCCAAATCGGCCCCAGACCCCGTCAAGCTGACTTTGGCAGCTTTTTGTATGGGCACCTTCGGCTATAAGGCCAAAAATATACTGATTGATTGATTGAACATGTAAGCATAATGACAAAAATAATTGAAAAGTCTTCTACTTACATTTTTCCCCAAAGGAGTTCAGCCGCTAAACCTAAAGTCGGCTGTTATTCCCACTACGCAAAGACCGTGTATTTTTTTAAGCAAAAAAAAAAAAAAAAAGAAATCTAAAGGGGTTTAAAAAAAATGGTGAGTTATTTTTTACTGTGGCAATGCTTCAACCTACGCAAACTAAAAAGTTCCTGAAAAAAAAAAAGCTACGATGATGCGCGACCAATATTTGTTGTTTTAATTAAAAACGCGATACATATATTATGACACTTTTTTGTTTGTGCAATTAAAAAAAGAACCTGCCAGGATTATTGATCAGGCTCAAAATAAAATAAAAAATTAGGCACACACGATCAGAACCTTGATTTTTTTTTTCTAAGTACATTTACAAAACATAGCTTGCGTTAGCGAAATACTAAAACTCTTAATCACTCACAGCTTTGAAAATACAAAGCGTGGCCTATTTCATTCCCACTTCTTGATTCGTGATCAGAGTTTTGGCACTCTTATCGACCAACGCCGCCGTCGCATTGAGTAGGGAGCGCTAAAGAGATGCTTTAAATTCGTCACACTCTGAGTTTCAAAGAATGTGAGTATAATATATAGTGAAATAAGTATCATATCCGCTGTCATCGATACTTCAGAGACACGTCATTTATTTAGTTGCATTTATCCTGACACGGCAGACCCGTACGGCACATAGGCCGTACCATAAAGCTCCCATTAGAAAGCCAGTACAATACCCACACCAGTTTTAAAAAATACAAAACCGAAGGAGTGTATGTATGCCCGCAAATACGATCATTATTCGCTTCCATTTATAGCTGGTGCATCGAGCATTGTTTTCCGGGAGAAGTGACCCTGATGCACCACCATTTCGGGAGCCAGCTGGTCAATGCTTGAGCAACCTGCGTGAATTGGAACGAGGTTGGGGACAGCATGTTAGTCTTCTTTCAGTTTATAGTATTTTTTTTTCTCGCGACTTGAAAGGCATATTTTTCTGTTCTCCTTTTATGATTCCTCGAAGCTGAAAGAGAGAAAACAAATATTTTTGCAACCGGAGGGAGTGATTGTGTTGGTGATAAGGAAAAAAACAGAAATACCAGGTTTCTACGCGTGCGCCGCAATTGAAATATAACGACAGCGCAGGCGCTGCTCACATTTTAATAAATCGGTCACTTTCGATTTATTCGAACTAAACACAGAACGTACACCTTAAGCGCATATTGATGCATAGCCTTATTGGCCAGTCTTTGGCCCGATCCAAATGTACAAAACTGCTGGTTTTTTTTTGTTTTTTTTTTTTTCACATTCGGCACGTTAAGTTCGCGCACCTTTACCGCTTCTCCGACCACTCTGAGTTTCATACTTAAAGCTCAGCAACTAAACAGAGCACAGCGTACAGGGTCGCTAAACTCGTCATACACAAAGATTCTTTGTCTTATGACTAGAACTCCGTGTTTTCGGATAAATCCGAAAAACTCTGAAAAACACCCGCCGGTAAAATTTTCGGCAATTCGGATTTATCCGATTAACTCCGAATCGCTATGTGCCCATGCAACCCCCCCCCCCCCCCCCCCCCCCCAACAACAAAAAAAAAAGCTTTTTTTTTTAATTTTTGGCAGCGCAGGCTCATCGGCTCTGAGAAAATGACACCATAATTGTCTTTCAAGCCTCGGACCGTTGTCAAAAGGGGGTCTTACGGCTTGTCTCATCAAGGTTGGTTCAGGGAAACAGGCCATCGTATTATTCGTGTAACGACAAGAGACACTCTTTTGGTTTCCAGTTTGGGCCAAGGGATTTGGGATTTAGAGAGAGGAGAGGGTATGTTTCTGGGGGAACAGTGAAAGCTATGGACCACAGAGATTGTATAAAATAGGAAAGAGGGGCAGTTGAAACTTCTCTATTACATCCACCTCGCGCGGCAGCGGGATAGATTGATGGGATGACTACGAGCTTCCTTGCGGCTATCTCCGGCAGTTTATTGATTTTAAGGTATCGACGTTTATCCAAGCCACACTTGTGTGCGACTTTTGTCGCGGGACAAATTAGTATTGCCAATGACACCAACGTCAAATACAACTGAAGAAATCTTAATTGATACAAGCGTGTTTTATTTTTATCTGGCATACGTTTGCGTCCGGTTATTATTTATTATTTTTAAAAGGAAACACTGCGAAATTAATCTCCGAATTTCGGAAAATTGTGGATTTATAAAAAATAGACTCCGATAAACACCGAATTTTTGCTAAAAAATAAACTCTGAAAAACACCCTCCGAATTTCACGAAAAATGAACTCCGAAAACAGGGAGCCCTACTTATGACATAGCGGGGAGAGAGAGAGAGAGAGAAAAAATATTTATTTTAACACGCCTAGTCCGGCGCTCCCAATATAGCTTTACCACTCTTCCCCAAGTACGTTGTGGACGTGCTGGATCAGTAGTGGCAGTAGGAGGTGTTGGTGATCTTTAGGTGGAGTGATCCAGCTCTCCCAGGAGTTTGGGTGTAGGTCGGGGGGCAGTTGGTGTAAGGTTGCAGATATGAGGGGTGGGCAATCCCACATCATGTGTATGTTGGAAGGGTGGCTTCCGCAATGGGGACAGTAGGGGCGTCCAGGGAGTCCTTGTATGTAGTGTTTGTAATGAGGCGTCATTAAAGTGTGAGTCTGAGCACGGCGTAAGATGGCACCCTCCTCGCGAGTGAAATGTGGAGGCGGATGGGGGAGAGTCGAGACGGTCATACGCAGTTCTTTGAGGATAGCCGTTCGAGCTTTGTGAAGTTGCTTGCGGTGTTCACGTGGGTCGTAGAACTCAGGCCAGAGTGTAGGAGGCCCCGGATTTCCTTCAGCGCGGGAGAGCGCGTGCGCTCTTGTATTTCCTCCCATTCCCTGATGGCCTGGTATCCATTGGATGGTGACGTTCAGATGAGGGTGAGTAGTTAGGTGTTGTTGGATGAGGGCGTGTATATGGGGAGGGAGCGTGTTGTCCCGAAACTGTCGACAAGCTCCTTGACTGTCGGTGCGTATGAGAATCCGATCGCGATGATGTGTGGGGATGATGATGGCCTCGGCGATGGCAAGTGCGGGGAGAGGAGCCAAAAGACTGCAGCGAAGTTTTTTCTTACAAACCCGCAGATCCGTTTATCTTCGTGGCGTTTTTCATTGAAGGGGCGAAAGATCCTTATCACTTTCTAGGCGCCGAACATGAGCAGCACGAGGAAGTGAGCGGAGACGACCGTAGTTCATACGTGTGACGTCACGACAAAGATTATTAGCTGCGACCAACATGTTTGATGGTCTCTAAAAAGCACGGCGGAAGCTTAATTTAATTGCATTTTAAAGTCGATACCGTCGAAATTGACAGTCTGATATACTTCTTATTTCCGCCGATAAAGCAGAATCTATTGAAGAACGTTCCCGCCGTTCGTTTCACTTCTCTCGGCCTTTTGGATATGATCAATGGCTAGGCTGACGGGGCAAGATCATAACCAGCCGATCAGCGTTGTCCGTTTTCGGACGAATTTCTCCTCCTAATAATTGCCCCCTCCCCCCCCCCCCCCCCCAAAAAAAAAAAAAAAAAAAAAAAAAAAAAACGACGGAATAAAATCATTTTGCTGTTTATATTTTCGAAGTAGTGACTACAGGGTAGCTAAACTCGCCGAGCACAACTTTGTGTCCGAAAGTTGCGGAACGCGCTGATTGGACTCTCGTGACGCTGACGTCAAGCCGAGCGAGGTGTTAATCATCCAAGCTCTCTCGGTGCTCAAACTCCAGCGAGAATGTAAATCACAAAGTCGCAGCGAGCTCCATCGAAGCGCGTGCGAGCAACACCGTGGTGCCAGCCGATTGAACGGCTGCACTGATGACGTCTCGGCCGAGTGTCCCTACATCCCTACGCCGCGTAAGAGTCATTGATACGTAGATTGTACCTAGGCGGCCGGTAAATACTCTGAACTTTCTCGTCGCAAGATCGCCGTTTGTGGAAGTTATCGGTGACGACAAAGTGACGTTTCACAACTTTGGGAAGGAGTTATTTGAGGCCAAAATCTTCGCTTCGGAATCGAGGCGAAGATTGAACTTTGTGATGTTGTGGAGCCGTGCGCGGTGTCCGGGGGCGGCTTTATAGAGCTCATCTTCCACCATTGTCAACAACGCCACCGGGGTCACCCACAGGTGGTTTGTGTAGAGACGTCGTTAATGTCCGAGAGATGAGGGAAAACGGGGGATAACAAAAAAACAAAAAAAAAAAAAGCCGAAGAAATGGAAATAAAAAGAAAATTAAAAACGTTTACAAATCTTTGTAATGCGAAATTAGAGCTCAACTCTAGAGGAGGAATAAGGGAGGGTACGGAGAGGAGGGTATGCCCCTCCTCCTCCCCTCTTCCTCTCCCCCTCCTCCCATTCAGTTTCTCCGCTAAATTTAGCAGGGAAAAAGACATCACATGACAATCTAGCGGAGAAGTGAATTGGCGTTGAAGTCACGTAGCTGGGAATTGAACTGGTGTTGAGGTCATGTGACGTCAATTTCGCGCTAAATTTAGCGGGCCCGTTACGCGGACGGCAACGCCCACGCCGCGAAACCCGGAAACGGGCGCCGAAGAGCTGCGCTCTAAAGAAAGAATTAAGGTACGACCAACACGCACCACACACACACACACACACGCACAAACAAATAGGAGTCTTAAAGGGATACTTCAACGAAATTTGAAATATTCCCGTCGTGTTCAAAAATGGGTTGAATATGATCCACAATATCCGTAAATGACAACGCACATTTGTATTTTGATCCTGGTGGCTGTATTTTTTGTTATAAAGAGCCCACTCTGGCAAGCGCTCGGAGAAGGCCCAGCTTAGAGCACGTGACATCCAACGCAATCGTGAAGTAGGTCGTCTCAAGACGAGCAAAGCTACGGCGAGGCTGACGTCGAGAGGATGGCCTAGTCGTTCCAGCCACCGAAGCGGCTGCTTTTGTACGAATTTTGAGTGACGGGTTAATCTTCTATAATCTTCTAGGGGGACAATAGCGACTTCTGCGACACACAAAAGGGATTCTCGGAAAGAGGGGAGTTCCTCCTTCCCTTCTTCTCTCGTCGTGGCCGGAGACGAGACAACCTCCGTCACTAGCTGTCAAGGTTCCTAGACGGGCATTACAAGCGGGGCGTTAGCGACATCCACCAGGTGCTCTTTGCTAATCGTTTAATTCGTTTTAAAATTCCTTTTCGAGACTTTTTTAACAAGATATTGGTATGTTCCATGTGATACTGCTCTTTTGAACACATATAGACCAAAAAATGAGCGCCGAAAGTTCGTTGTAGTATCCCTTTAAGAAGGGCCGTAGAAATTGTTCGGGGGAAAGAGAGAGGAGGTGATGGTGGTGAAGAAAGGGGATATTCCTTTCCCCTAATATTTTATTATAACCCTCTGAAATGCTATGGTGGTTCGGGGCTGGGGCGATACCCACCCCTTCCACCCTATGCCCCTTGCCCCCTCTTTCGACGCAACTGGGGGAGGGGGGGCTAAATCCCCACCCCCCTTCCCATCCTCCTGTTGCGACGACCCTGCTTAGAGGTGTTCCAATGAGCAATGACGAAAAACAGCACAGCCTGCAATTTTCGAAATAACGGTTCAAGAGATTCTGTAATTAAAACGGCTCGCGTTCCATGAACTCAAGAGTGGCCAGGGCCGGTTTGCTCATCTTGCGGCTGCGGACGCGGCCGCGGCCAGGAGGGATTTTTACGTCACGTGACCAGCTCCATGGGGATAAGGAAGTACCTAGCGTCCCTGCCTAATGGCGGAGAGATCCGCATCGCTTCAAGCACAAAAGCCTAATTTCGCTCGCAGAAACTAATTGGAGGGACTTTCAACTGGAATCTAATTGACCGCCCGTTATACTGTAGGAGCGGCAGGTA